TGACAGCTTGTATCTTAAGCTTTCTTGACTTCTGTGATTCCAAAAACGTCGACTGCTGACATTTTTCTTTTGACCAGTGTCTCTTAAGTTTAGTTGTACTGTCTCCAAGGGAAGTTGACGTGTCCTGTAGAAGTCTTGTGTAGATTATGTTTTCCTTTCTGCCCAGTGACGCCTCCTCCCTCCCTCTCTGGCCGGGTTTTGCTGGGTCTGACCTGGAAGGCGCCTGGAAGACGCCTTCTTTTGCTGTTATCCGAGGTGACCTTGCCCAGTGATGCCTCCTCCCTCCCTCTTAGCATAATTATTATTCAAATATACACATCAAAAACTAAAGCCAAAGATGAGGAAATTGAGGAACTATATCAACTTTTTCAGTCTGATTGGAAAGAACATACAATCAAGATGCCTTAATAGTAATTGGTGACTGAAACGCAAAACTTGCAAACAAGGAAGAAGAACTGATATTTGGAAAATACAACCTTTTTGACAGAACTGAAGCTAGAGATTGAATGACAGAATTTTGTACAATCAATTATTTATTCACTGCAAATGTGGGGTTTTTTATAAAAAACAAGCACATATTATAAACATTTATCTCATAGGATCATCTACACAGGAATCATGTTGATTAACCCTGGGAGGATTTAATGAAGAAATTCAGTATCAGACTCAAAATGAGGTCATGGACTGATTGTAGAATAGACTATCAAGATCAAATTCAAACTGAAATTAATATAAGTCATTAAGAACCAAAATAGGGCTATGAGTCTATTCTAACTAAACTGAAAAAACATCTCCCAAGTAGGTTTAATGTATTTATACACTTGTGGTCCAAGCACAGAAGAGTTGTGGGATAATATCAAGGATTTAATTTATAAAGAAAGCAAAAGGTCATTTCAATATAGGGAAGAAAGAAAAGAGCAAAACATACCTCAGGAGAGACTCTGAAATTTGCACTGTATTGGAGAGAGGCCAAAACAAAGGTAAGAAATGCTGAAGCAAGAGAAATTAATAAAAAATTACAACTTGAGAAAATGAAGATGTAGTATAATCAAATGTGCAAAGAGTGGATTCAGGAAACCAAAAGGAAAGAAGAAGCTCAGTATTTCCCAGGCTGAAAAGGTGGAAGAATAAATTTAAGCAATACAATGCAATACTGAAGGTTCTAGAGCAAAAATCTGAACAATGAAGGAAGCATCAAAACAAATGGAAGGGATTCACAGATACACTGAAGAGAAGAAATTGGTTCACACAAAACGAACTGTTTAAAAGGAATATATGACAACAGTCCCAAATAAGAGGTGCGTAGCAAAGTGGACTAGAGGAGGGGTGGAAGGAAGAGAGGAAATTATGCAACAATGAATAATTTTTAAAAAAAATAAGAACTGGGCAGTAGAGAGAAAAATGTGCAACAATGAATGAATGAAAAATCCAACTTTTCTGTAAACTTTCATTAAAATTATCTTTAATTTTTTAAGAGAATTGGTTGGTACTAAAAGAGTTCAGGAAGTAGGATACCATAATAAAACTAGTTGTAATGAAGGAAAAGAGTCAAACTTCTCTGAAAGTATTGGCAAAAAATAAGGCCTCAAGAATTGATAGAATCTAAATTTTCATGTTTCAACAGATTTAGTCTTGGACATGCTCATTAGCCTATACCAAGAAACTCAGAAGACAGATAGCTATCTAGTCAACTACCTGGAAGAAATCCAAAGATTGAACAAGCATTGTAAATAATTTGATACATTAATTGATTGTGAGTAATGTTATAAAACAAAATGTGTATGTATTATTGAAAGAAAAATCCCAATATTATTTATAAACTTATGTTAAAAAAATATTTTTTAAAAAGAACAACAGTAACTACCCAGAGAAAGATCAATCTCTTCCCATACAATTCAGAGCCTCTGAAAATCCACTGGAATCATTGTGATTTGGCTCTGATGCAATAAGAATGAAGAGATAAAGTAATCTGTCTTTTTTAAAAAATTATTATTCATTTACCTTCCATGACCTCTTCTGTTGGTGCTTATATCATTTAGACTTTGATATGTGCTGGTTATATTTTAACTTTTTAATCAATTCTTTTCTGAATATATATAAGAATCTCAGCACAAAGTAAGAAAAGATTTTAAGGAAGAATTACATTTACCAGGATGTTTACAAAATGGACTTCAATTCTTCTACTCATCCAGCTGAATTGTTACTTTAGCTGTGGGTCCTGTGGGAAAGTGCTGGTGTGGCCAATGGACTACAGTCATTGGATGAATTTAAAAACTATATTAGATGAACTTGTTCAGAGGGGTCATGAAGTGACTGTGCTAACATCTTCAGCTTCCGTTATCGTGGATCCTAACAAAATAACTACTATTAAGTTTGAAATTTATCCAACATCCTTTACTAAAGATGAATTAGATATCATTTTTATGAAATGGCTCGAAAAATGGACATATGAATTACCAAGAAGTACATTGTGGGCATATGATTCAAAGATGCAGAAAACCTATCATGAATTTTCTGATACTGTTCAAAAGCTCTGTGAGGATGCAGTTTTGAACAAGAAACTTATGAAAAAACTGAAAGAATCAAAATTTGACCTTATTCTTGGAGATGCCATTTCTCCTTGTACTGAGTTGTTGGCTGAGCTATTTAACCTGCCTTTCATCTACAGTCTTCTATTTACTACTGGCAATAGATATGAAACATTCTGTGGAGGACTTCCACATCCACCTTCCTATGTTCCAGTCCTCCTATCAGAACTTAGTGACAAAATGACTTTCATGGAAAGGGTTACAAATATGTTGTATTTCCTCTATTTTGACTTTGTGTTTGAGACTTTCAACAAGAAGAAGTGGGATCAGTTTTACAGTGAAGTATTAGGTAAGTCAGTGGTACATTTACTGTATTTATTTTTTTTTTTTTTTACATTTAGTAGATGGAAAGAAATACTATTTTCTTTGTGTGTTTTATAGTAAATATGTATGGAATTTAGGCTCAAATGGAACATATGTTTGAAAAAAGAGTAAAATGGAAACTTCAAAATTTCTCAGCCAAAAAACTGAGTCCTTATGCAGAAAAAAATAAACTAGAAATCAATGATATTGGATAATCTTCTCCAGTTTGACATTGGTCCACAATATGAAGATTCTTAGGGCTTGTTTATGTAAAAAGTTACATATGCACTGTGTATGTCACAAATAATTAATGTCCTAATTCTATGTTGCTAGTATAAATAACTGTGTTAAAACCTAGAGGTTACAAAAGTAATTTTATAAAAAAAAAAGTAATTTTATTATTTGTCTATGATCCTATAAATCAGTAATTTGGGCTTGACTCAGTGAAAAATGTTTTGCTTTGGAACAGTCATCTCTGATTCACTTATTCAGCTACAGTTAGCTCTCACTGGGCAGGACAGGAGAATTCAAGAAAATCTCATTTAATGTTTCAGATTGGTGGACTATTAAGCACTTTGATGCTTTTGTGCGTGTTGTCTCTTCAATGGCCAATCTTAGAACTTTGATTGAATCACAGAATTTCAGAATAGCATGGATAATGTCCTGGAGCTAAGTTAAGAAACTACACTATCTCAACGTTGAGGAGAAAAAAAAAAAGGCTTTTCCCCCAAAGTATCATGTGTGAACCTACAACACCCTGACCTCTTTCTCTTCCTCCTTGATTGTATGAATAACCCTGAGTTCACCTCTTAGAACTGGTTTTAACCTTTAGCTGCAGCCACTGCGCTGCCACGTGTGTATATATATGACGTTGTACATTGCACATACCCTCTGGATCCCCACAGTTTGGTCCCTCTCCCAGCCACCCCTTTATAGTATGACGAGTTAACAAGTTGGTGACCTGCACAAAGCGAGACACAGCTATTTAATCTCTTGCCAGACATCGCCCCTCTTGATGCGATGCTGTACAGGTCTCTGTAAAAAATCCTTGCTGTCTCAGCAGCCAATCAACTTATAGTTTATTTTTTTCTGGGTTTTTGTTTTGTTTTATTTTCTTTCTAATTGATGTGTGAAAAAGTTTTAGGTTCAATTGAAGTTCCTGATGAAGAAACACAATTGAGATTTTTTTCAGTGATAAAATCTGCATATTTGTATTTCAAACAACGTAGCTAAAACCTGATGTAAATTCCTCCTTTTTTTCCTTTTTTGGCTTAATGAATATCATTTATTCAGTATGAAATCTTTATACTATATGTTCCACGTGTTAAGAATAAATGTACATTAAATCTTGGTAAGAAAAAAAAAGAAACTACACTATCTCACTGCAGTCACTTTATCTTAGTAACCATAAATGGCAAAGGTAGCCCAAATTCAAGGAGTAGGAAAAGTGACTTTACCTACTAAAGAAGGAAGAATCCCTGGGTGGCACAGTTAAGTACTTGAAATGGTGACTTGAACTCACAGAGTCATTGTGAAAAAACTAACCCAGAAATCTGCTTCTGAAAAGTCACAGACTTGAAATCCTTGTGGAGAACAATAATACCAGAGGAAAAGGTAATTCTCAGGACAATCTATCATATAAGACCCATATTGCCTCAAAACCCAAGATCAGATGGCATGAGTGGGTAGGAAAGAAGAATGAGTGGAAACAGGAAATGCAAGAAGGAAGTTAGAAAAATAACTTTGTAGGGTTTACAATCAGTGTCACAAAATGAAACGTATATGAATAGTGGAATAAAAAAATATACTGATTTGTAAATCTTTCTCCAAACCTTTTTGGAATGGGAACAAATATAGATCACTTCCAAATTTAAAAAAACAAAATTTCTTTCAAATTTATCAGCAGAGGTTAGTGAGCAAGTCCAGGACTATATCTCTTTGTGGAAACACCTCAGTTGATATTCCATCCGTTTCTGCGGCCTTATTACTTCCCCCCCCC